CGCAACAGTGGACAGCTGTTTCGCCTTTCTTGGGGCTCGTCAGTACTGTGTAGCGAAGATATGTAACGCCAGCCCAAAAGCCAACGCACATAAATTGGAAAATGACCCGTGCACTATATCAAGTTCCGTACTATGAACTCACTTGCGCCCCGAAACACGCGTTGCCACATCACGTGTTTCGGGGCGCAAGGAGATAAAGTGTCAAGATTGGTGTCTCGAAAAGCAAAAGAATAAATGTGGCTGGGCAAGGCCAGCCTAAACATTTAAACATTCAACCGCATGGCCAGTACCATGCTTTAAAAACGCAGCGTATCGGATCTGAAAAGACCTACGTTGGCAGCGTTTATCGTATGCGGTCCCTTGCAGTTTCTGGTTTTCTCTTTAAAAGAACCGCTGACCTAGCAGCCCGGCTGCATACATCTTTCGCCCATGATCTGTCCCAGGGGGGAGGAACTGCTCCTTTTTCACAGGAAATTCACAAATTGTCCACTGAAACATTGTAAAATATGGAAGCATGGCCAATTAAAGCCCTAAAAGCTGTCTATAAAATGTTTAAGCAAGCAACCGGAACGATGATCCTGCTGGTATACGTTGGATCAATAGTGATCTAATCGGCTTAACATATAAAATGAAGAATACAAAAGCAAAAACCGACACAACGTAGGATGATTTTTTGAAGGTGTACTATATAACAGCTAAAAAAAAGGTGTACTACCTAAAAGCTGCTCCGATATCTAGAAAACTAGAAACTGCTCAGAATGCAAAAAGTTGCTTGAAACAAAAAAGGTTGCTCGAAATGCGCTCGTTTGCTCCGTCTTCTCGTTGGATCGAGGAGACCGAGCAAACGGGCGCCGGAGCCTCGAGCGGGATCCAGGAGTATGCTCCCCCGGGATATTTTGAAAATTCGGTTGTCTGAGACTGCATTTCGTGCGTTTTGAAGGCAGTATGATATGAAAACTGGCAGCCAAAAGCGAACTTAAAAACGAGGATATTACTCAAACTTTTGAACTTCAAAATGGATTTTTTTTTTTTGGCGCAGAGACTACTTCTCGTATGTATTTTATAAAGAACAAAAATAGATATAGATCTGAAAATCCGTATTATTCACTGGGTTTGCTGCAGCATACCATGATTATCAGTATGTGGTGATCATCATGATCTTACAGTAGTGTGCCAAGCTCAAGCCTCCTTGGTACTTCTTAGCAAACAGATCATCGACTTCTTCCAGATCAATGGGCTGATCAATGTCTGTTGGATAGTGGATGTGCATAAGTTCCAGCTATTTTTTTTTTTTTTTTTTTTTTTTTTGTGCTTACTTATTTATTTTTACTACACAAACAGTGAATCAGAACAGAATTATACTATATATATATATATTTACCAATTCACTTCTTTTAAATCATTGGTCGACAAAAAAGTGGACCTTCACAGCCTGTCAGGGGGGGGAGTGCGGGCGCACCCGTCGCACCCCCCGCCCCCCTTCCTACGTACCTGACATAGTCGTCATTTCCTTGTTAAACTGCCACCAACTGAGATCTAAGGCCCGTCTATATCTATATCTTACCGGATACCCGAGACAATGCCCTCTTCGAGTCACCCAGGCATTGCAAAGCTAAGTTTTCACGCGAATTTTTTTGAAACATTCAACCAACCGTTTACCGATCGCAAACCGATCTCGAGGGGCTAGACCAGTTTGGGTAGGCGAGTTGTTTCGCCTCTGTGGATAGGGTAACCCTGGCAGGTGAGACAACTTTTTGTCATAAATTAAACACCTTGGCTCGGCTCCAGCTACCCGGTGCAATTCACGGCGTGCCGAGAATCACGTTATGCCCAGATATTAGGAGCTTTAAGGTTTCATAGCGAAAATAAATAAGAAAATAACTAGACAAAAGCCCACGTTGATCGAATGACCAAAGGAAATTGAAAGAAGGAGGGATAACCGCGCATTTAGATATTTAATAAGGGATATAAATATTTACACGGGGTCAGGGCTGGTAGGGTTTTCAGTTTCCCAGTGCAGAGAGTGCAGTTGGACAGTACTGTACACGTGCAGTACATTATCAGCTAGTTGACCTTTTGCCACTTACCGAGAACACACTCCTATCGGCGATAAATAATAAAAGTGTAATACCGCAAAACTCATTTAGCTGGAAAACATAACCCACTCCCCCCTTACTCTCTTTTGAATTCCTTGGACGTTAGTCATGGACACGTATCAGGCTTGATTACCAGCCGTTGCTCGAGAAAGGAGCCCGCCGTCCTTCCCAGCGAACTCACCGGACTTCAGTGAGCGACGGAAATCGAGCCTTGGCACGTATAACCTTTCAAAATATGGGGAAATCACAGTTACTTTGACCAATGAGAACAGGATGTTAATACCGCACCTTAGAATTATTGAATAGTGGTAATTAGTTGAGTCCGCAAACATAGGAATTAGCATAATTAGTTAATTCGGATAAGAATCGTGTATTTAGTAAAGTGATCCGGGGCATAAAATAAAGAGTTTGCTGACAGCCATTGTTTTAGTGTCGAATAGAATGAGTAAAGGTATTCAAAGCAAATTCCACACCATGTCATCATTCGAGACGCCGGCCGGAACGTGATCAGCTCACAAAAATTGTCATTTGAAGACATCAATTTTTAGTTCAATTACTGACGGGGAGTTTGTGGTCATAATTTCGCGATTTTAGCATGGGAAGATATTACAGAACATTTGTATGGAAACCAAGCTACGTTTTCAAATCGACACATTTTCAATTTTGACGAGATCTGTAAATGCGGTCTTGACGGTCATGGAGAATTTGAAACGCTCTAAGTTTCCCTTCAGCAAACATTTAGACTGTCGACAGTGGCGAAGCGAGACGGACATTCAACGATCATCGCTCCCTCCAATTCAAAACAGCGAGAAAAAGAACTCGAAGCTGATCAACACCAGCGGGAAACAATTGTGTCCTAACAGACCACCAACCCCTAACCCGGCCAGACAACAGGAAACATTGTATTCTTGGGGGAGAACATCAAGGATGTCACCATCGAACTCATCTCAAAGACTGTCTCTGTCTCTTGATTTGAGACCAGTCATTGAAGGTGCTAATTCTAGACGCTACAGTGCTGGCTTTGTTGATAATTCTCCCGAAGCTGAGTGGAGCCCACGACCGTGCATTCGAAGCCTTCCGCCAAGCCCGACAGTTCAGCGAAGCCACAGATTTCATCGCTCTTTGCGAAGGTTGTCGAGTGATTCCGAACATATCGATGAAAAATTCAAGGATGATCGAATCATGAGCTGGATTCGTGATGTTTCAGAAAAGACTCATTCTCAAAATAGCCACCACGACGACGAATACGATGTATTTCAGTGTTCTTTGGAAAATGATGACGACACAAGTGTTGCGGCTGGTCTTCCGATAATACAAGAAGGACAAAAAATATAAACAGAACCATCAACAGGATATAAACAACTAGTATAACAGACTAAACAACTCAACTCAATTAACTTTATTTGCCCTTTCTATTAAACAATCTATACAAGAGACACGGTACGGATTAAACACGACAGGATAATCTCTCAGCAAACCCCGGTGAGAATATTGAAGTCTGTTGTAGTCGTCTGTTTGTATTATAGGTGTCTTTTAGTGGGACATGTGCGCACGAAGCGAATTTCTTTATGACCTTGAGGCATGACATAATTCTGGAAGGATCGCTGAAGGGGGGTTTCTAAAGTCATACGACCAATATGACATGTTTTTTGGTCCATAAATTCACAAACCCAGTTGAAAAATCCCCATCTCCCGAATAACTTCTAAAAAAGAGAGGTCCGATGTAGTGTCTAGATTAATGCTGTTACGAGTTGTAATTGTTTTCTCAGGAACTTTAGTAATTTGCACTGACTGAATGTATTATCTGTATCTGTTACGCTCAAGTGAGTTGCAGTCAAGTCCTTGGCCTTTGTAATCTAAACATACACTATGGCCTGGCAAGGCAAGCCATTCCTAAAAAAAAAAAATTACGATTTATGCTTTGGTCTCTTAGGGAATTTTCACGAAAATAATGATCAAAAACTCTATTTAAAAAATGACAAAGCGTGTTGTTACACGCACGAACACGTTGGTTTTTTGATCACCCTGGAAGGTTTTGACTCATTTCAAGAGCTTATTTCCTTTCTGTGTTATTCTTGGTTTATAGGATTAAGATAACGACCAACAGGTATCTTCCTTCCTATGGTCTAACGGGGATTCAGTTACTGCGTGCCACAAAACGTGACTTTTTTCACAGACTGTTTGTCAAAGATAACACGCCATGTTTATCAAATAACCTATATCTGAGGCTCACAATTAAGATAAACACAAAGTCAAAAAGGTTATCAATTCAAACAAGTTATTACATATTTTAAAACATAAGAGGAAACGGATTCGATGGAGGGGGGCTGGGGAAGAAAGGCATTTTGTTCGACGATCACGCACGGATCAGGTTTGTGCGCGCGTGATCAACGTGTAGATAAACCACGCTCTGGCTAGACTTCGATAGACTGCTGCAAAGCTAAAGAAGGTCACGCTTACTTCATCCTCAATGGACCAGACAGTCAATGGACCAGCTGTTTGTAGTCTATTAAACTTTTAAATCTACTAGCGTTTTATCACGCATGCCGTTTTCTGATTGGCTACGCTACTCACTATCCAGTAGCGTAACGTTGTGCGGTTGTTAACAAACTGGCGGCCTTCTTGTTTGCGTTTTCGAAGTGTCTGTGAAGAGGATTTAGATAAAATTTTGAACGACTAGTAGATTTATACTGAAACAATTTAGATTATTGGCTCTCGATTTCTATGCGTGATAATAGATTACGCGATAGAAATCTTGAGCTCATAATCTAAATATTTATTAATAGAATTCTACTTGAACACTGATGCAAATGCTGCAATGTGATTGGCTGAGTGATCGTACACTACCAGCCATTATAGTTCACCACTAAATTTTCTCCGATTGTTATTGGTTTAAATTTATCACCTGACGCGATAGTGTTAATCCGCGGAAAGACACTATCAACCCATAGTGCCCGTCCGAGGAAAATACGCGGATGGATAGTACTCGTCTGTGAAAATTTTTCTGCAAACAAGCAAGCTTATAAAAAAAATAAACAATTGAAATTGCATTAAGTGTGTTTTGTTTATCTTCCTTTTAAATTTTGCATTTGGCTTTCACGGCTTTCATTTAAAAAGTTGAAAATAATTCAATAAGATTTTTGAACCGGCGCGCGGAAGAAAATTTAGTGGTGAACAATAAAGAAAATAGAGTTTTTATGTCTCGGAACTATCGGTCTAATAGTTGCCCCTTGGAACCAGCCGATAGTTCCTCGACATAAACACTCTATTGTTTAATTAGTGTGCAGTGGCTGGAGGTCGTCTAGGAAATGGCGACGTTTTTTTCGATTTTCCAAGGTTTTAGAGGAAAATTTTGATGCAAATGGATAATTAAATTCCTGAGAAGTCTAAACGAAGGACTTTAACGGTTTCTTGACTTTTAAAAAAGTTGAAATTATTTAAAAAACTGATGCGCGCGCGCATACAACTTCAATTTTAAATGACAATTTAATCCGAGCGATCTTTTTCAGGGGCAAAGTTTAATAATACGTCAAGAAATAATTAGAAACCGTTATTTGAAGTAAATTTTAGTAAGAATTCTACTAAAACAATTAGATTATTCGCTCTCGATTTCTATGAGGCGATAGTTGATTCGGCCTCATGATGCTCATCAACTATCACCTCATAGAAATCTCGAGCTCATAATCTAATTGTTAAAACTGCAATCATAAATGCAAAAATGGCCGGGACAAACGTATTCTACCAAAGGTGAATACAATTCAAATAGTAACAAATCAACTTCCTGACAAATAGAAACTATTTGGTTTTTGCCCCGTAACGCAGGCGTTACAATTTCGTCCTGATGCATTTCTCTCCATAACACCGGCACCGTTAGAATCACTGTATTTCACTGAGTTCAATAGGTTTTTTGGGATCCGTGATTTGGCTTGTTTGAAGGCCGCCTTCGGAATTTTGAAGGAAAGGAGGGCGAGATTCGGGATTGATATTACATTGTATGAACGGGACAAGATATTCTGGAAGTCTGGAGACGAAAATGTATAAACAAAATCAAGCTGTCATCTTAGTGAAAGTCGGAAATAGCCTAACAGTGAGTTAGTTCGGTTACACAACTTACTTACGACCACTTTTGGTACGCCATGCCGTTATGTATAATGAACTGTGAGATTATATTTTAGTAATATAAATTTTAGTAAGGCAGACTTAACCACTCAATAGAGGCGAAACACGGCAGAAAAAAAGAAAGCAAAAGGAACGAACTACATGTATAAAAAAATAGCGCGGTAGCTGGCTTTCTTGGGCGGTGGGGGAGGTAAGCCCTCAAGAGAGCTTGCTCGCAGGCTATAAAAAGAAATCACGACTGAATGACCAACGCAATTCATTTAAACTGAGCGTGCATGAACGATGTCATCGTTTTGGAAATTGGAAAGTGATGCAATTGGAAGTAATGGTTAGTGCTTGAGTTCCCTGACAGCAAATCTGGACCTGGACTGAAAAGGATCTTTTCAATTAATGCAAGGGATTAAAGAAAATATGACCGACATCTGGATTAGCCAATAGAAACCATCAAAATTACGGGATTGAGGGAAAATCCTTATCGGGATAGTGCTAGCCTGCGTAGCAAGCGTTCCCGTAAAGAGAACTTTTCCGCATTCTGACCGCGCGTAAATTGGAGCGAGAGCAAAAGCTCCACGAAGCGGGGGGTTTTTGCTCTCGCTCCAATTTACGCGCGGCCAGAATGCGGAAAAGCTCTTCGCAGAACCACCCTCTTTGGAGCCACCCTTTTTATTGAGCCATTTCATGATTTAGCACATAAGAAGCCGCTTTCAAAAGTTCACCAGTTGGTGCGGGAGAGCGGTACTCGTAAGTCCTTTCAATGTCACGTACCATTAGGAAAACCGTTTTCTATTTCAGTTCTTTGATAAAATATACCTAAAAATACAAAAATACGTGATACCGATTTTACATAGCCTTTGGTAAACCAAACAACTAGAGCGCGCGTTTTACATTATTTTTATCCAACGATTATCAAAGTTGTATTTTTTTACTTCTCTGACAAAACCACAAGCTCAGAAAGTTACTTGTAAGTAATCAAAATGCTCCAGTCTCTGTTCCTGTATCTTTCCGTTGAGTAAGATGAGCTAGTGTTAGCACGATTTGGTGATTGGAGAAGTGACGTCTTCAAATGGGACACTGTTTTATCACATGTCAGAGTCCTACAGCCTTGTTTGAACCCATCAAAAGTAGTCAAGGAGGGACCGTATCACTAGAACTCATAGGTAAAGTAAATGAGTTCTCTTCATATTGGTGGTGCACAATACATGACTTTCCTCACCAGAACGTCGTACATTCTTCATTGCAGTCCAACAGCACGTGGCGTAACAATCATGTAAAGCCTGAATCCACTGAAATCCTACCGATCCAGAAGACCCAGGAAGAATCCTGCTGTGTGGTACTCTGTACAGCCTAAATCCCGTGGAAACCAGTCAAGAGGACCCTAATATCCTTTGACAACCTGTCAAGTAGAGTCTAAAATTCCACGAGGCGTTTCCAAAAAGAACCCTAACGATCTCAGGGACTCCGTCAGGTAGAGCCATGGAATCCTGGCAGGAGGGGGACAAATGTCCCTTGAGCTTCTGTCAAGTAAGACCTAGATTCTACGGGGCCCGGTAAGGTAGACCCACAATGTTCATTGTCAATTAGGGCTATGGCTTCCATCGGACCCTGCCAAGTAGTTTGCACACGATATGACACCATCACTAGATAGTTTACATCAGTCTCTTTGTACAGCCAGCTCTATCAGTTGGCAAAACAGTCCAGCTTCATACCAACATCTGCGATATGGTTTCACTGTCAGCCTCTAACAAACATCAGACTAAGGGACATTTGATTTATCTCGAACTTGCATGTGACCCAGCAGCTCCTTGTTTAATCCGAGTCATATTCTGGCGGTCTTCTCCATGGTTGAATTTGAAATAACTCCTCAGCTGCAACCAATATGAATCACAATTAAAAAACATTTTAAATACCATTGATTTAATTACCATCAAATTAATTCATTTATAATGTGCTCTCAATCAAAACAGCCTATTACGCTGGCTTTTAAAAAGCGTTTATGCTGGTCAACTGCTGGAGATGCGATCCGGCCGTCATTTTGGAGCCACAAGAATATCACAAGATCAGACGAGACATCCAGGACGAGGGAGGGGGTTTCCTTAAGTCTCACTTCTATCGGACTTCGTAAGCTTGAAATGACGTGGAAACAGCTGCACTAACATTAAGCCAATCGTTCTCTCTTCTCTGTTTCCCCTTTACCCTATTAATTATTGTCTTGTTTTCCCCAAGCTCCTTTCTTCTTTGCTCATGCTAACCAATGCTGCTTTTATTACTTGGCACCCCCAGAAACAACTGCAGGATAGCCAACCTCAAAATTTCTCAGACCAGTACATTTGTTGTGTTTAAATTTGGCTCACGATCGCAGCCTGTGTGGTCAATCATAATTTCTTGTTTAATAGGTTGCAGTAGTTTATACCTGGAGGTTTTCTGGCATCTCTAGATTTGCCCAATATTGTAGCAGAAGGTTTTATCTCAGGCGGTGGAGGTCGACTGGCCTTCACAGGAGTAATTGATGACTGAACTGCCCAGTCTGGTCGACCTGTTCTGCTGTCAAACTTTGTGCTTGCAGTCTCTGATTCTGAGGCAAAATTTGCCTGAAAATAGAATTTAATAATACTAAAGTTTTAGCAGAAATGCTTTAAACTGTAACTAAGAGGTCAACACCACAATTATTTCTGCATTTTACATTCAATTTGTTCTGCCTTTAAACCTGAACTATTATTTCGAATTTCCTATCATATCAAGGCCATTTTGTACATTGTTTAAAGACAAAGATTTGCCAAGTCAAGGACATTGTAGAGTAAATATGAAAGCTCTTAGCAAGTGTAAAAGTTAGCTTTATTGTCTTTTCCTCTCACAAATCTTAACCTTCAACCTTACTATGCATTACTATTTATCAGGTAAGTTAAAGCTAATTCCAGTTCCTCCTTAGAAATCTGAGATACAGAAGACCATAAGACACATGTAGACATGTCATCAAGCTTCTTCTTAATGACTGTGAAGTCCACATCACCAACATAAGCCCTTGGTTTATTGTTTCATAATCAGTCTTTGAATAAAACATCTAACCTGAGTATCAAGCTAGTGAAGGACAAAGAGCTCCCCTCTTCCCATCCCTTACAAAGGCCTAATGCTCTCACATATTACTAAGGAAAGGAAGTTTCAGTTCTCATTGGGCCTCTAATCATCTGGCAACAAATGCAGGGTAAAGATGGCAAGTGATTGATTTATTACTCTCCTCAGTGATGACACAATACAAAAACGCCTTGGGGGGTGGGCACTAGCCTTAATTCCACATGCTTTTTAGAAGGTATACTGTAGGTCAGAATGTGAGTGTGAATGGCTTAACATTTCCATAAATGCTTGTACAGTATAGTGTACAAAATCCTTGCAGTTTGTACAGCCAAAGCTTTAACAGTAGTAGTAGTGTTTGTAATGCAAAATAGCAGCTGAATAGTTCAACCGAATGTTGATAAAGTAGTGACTTACAGAAGCAGGGCGTATCCTTGGTTTAGAACTGGATTTAACAGCAGTTCCTTTTTTGTGTGTATGTTGATGATCATGTGGTTCAGTTACATCCACATTCGTTGACATGTGGCATCGTCTACAGCAAACAAAAGAATAATAATTTAAAAAATTCCTTTCACTGACTGCGGTGATCTTACATGTACATAATTGTAATTGTAACATGCCTCTGTGATACTACAGCTACCAGCCAGTTTCCCTACAATGTTTTTATACATGCATGGTGCCTGCTAATAGATGGCAACTCTTGCCAGATCTTGTATCATGCTTGACCAGTCAGTACAAATAATTCTCTTCATAAAATCCCTGCAGAAAAATTTAGAGCTGATGAAATTCTTCACTTTGGAGCAGGAATTTACCCTAAATGGATTGCAAGAACACCTTTAAAATTTATCATCAGAGTCTTGAAAGAGCCAAATATAATGAATACCTTATTGAACTAGCTTGATAGATCCATACTGGGGGGAACGTAAGGCTCATTCTTGCAAAAAAAAAAAAAAAAAAAAGAATAGCTCAAAGAGTACTTCCCCACTTCAGACCTCAGACTAGCTCAATAACATATTTATGCCCAGTTTCTGTACCTGCACCCTCCTACATATCCATCCGAGGAGACTCTTCTCTTGATGTCACTGGGATGTGGGTCAGGTCCCCTCCAGGGGGGGACGTCATGATCTGATGACTTTTTGTTGGTTTTCTTAAACAGTTGGCCTTTACTCTGGCCTCTTGATACTGTTTTCTCAGCTGGAATTGACTTTGGCGATCCTGGAGGAGACTAGTAAAAAAGAGACAAATTCATTGTATCAATTAGCAATTTAAATCAGTTAGTACATTCCATTACATCATTTAGTAAACTTCTTTGGATTTCGGTGGAGTTACTCGTACTGTGATCTCTCAATCGGGAATAAAAAATACTGCAAATTACCAGTATGCGCCCCTATATATTCTCTTCAAATAATATTTCACTCGTTCACTTCACTCATTTGTGAAATATTTTTCAACATATAGAGCATGATAGAAATTCTATTTCTCTGAGCGCCAGTTGTACTAAACTGTAACTCATCACCAGTGTACCTACTGGACAACAAATGTACTTGCTCAATTTGGGATTCCTATGAAGAAACCTATCAATCCAATCCCCCCTGCAGATTAATGAATTCACTGCACTGACAAATGATCAATTTACAAAGCTATGAACTAAAAATCCCACAAGGTTGATCCTGTGTTTGGACCCCATGATAATTTTGATCATAATACATTCCACCAAATGCACTGCAGTATTCAGCAACAGTACATACATGTAGTGTACATCTTGTTAAATTGTTTCAGTGTACAGTTTTCATGAAACCATGCTGATCTTACCTTTGGTCTGATATACTGCAATCCTCTTACACACTCAAGGTAATGTCTCTTCCAAACTCCTTGTTCAAAAGGAGTAGGAACAAATGGTAAAATCCAACCAAACTTAAAACACTTTGGCATCCAAATCTGATCAAGCTCAGACAAATATTTCCAGAACCAACAAACTTGAGCACAGCGACAAAGACTCCGAGGATCCAAAAAGGACATCATGTACACCGTTATTACTCGTGGAAGTTTACGCGTGAAGTCTATATGAGTGATGGGAATTCTGTCATCAATCAAGGAGAATGTGTATTGTAGTTGAGAATTCTTGCACTTGGATAACAGGATTTCAAGAACTGTCTTTCTTTGGACATCTGACCACCTGTCAAACTGCAGGAGAAAGTCTCAACAAGTTACATTTTTATACCCAGTATTGCACCATTCTTATGACAGGTTGCAATACATTTTATTCAAGTCACGATCCCATTTAAGAAACTACATAGATGTAGTTTTGGCAAGTTGAGTAAGAGACATATCAGAAAAATTTCTGTAGGCATGTCTTATCTGGAATTTTTGTGGAGATATAAGTTATTTGTCAATAAGATGTGCATCTTTACAGTTAATGACACCTGGAGTTTGGGAGCAGGAAATAAGACATGCCACAAAATAGGACGACTTCAGGACTGATACCAGTTACCTCTGAGTCCTTAGATAACTTATACCTTGGGAGGCTCTATAAATAAACATAATGCATCTATAACTTATAATTTTTTAAAATAAAAAGGATTCTTTCGTATATATCACCTCTGGAGTCAAGTCTACGAAGCCCTCAAAGACTAAGATTTATCCTAAGTTTCTTCGAAAAGGAAAAGTCTAAGATCTGTACCCAGGTTTGATTATATTGCCGGATAACATCAATGAGTACACTCACCCAGTTGCTTAAAAGTTCTTTTCTCTCATCGAAGAGCTGCGACAAGAAAAACAACCTAACAGTTTTTTCAACAGATTTACAACAAAAACCACACCAAAGGAAACATCAAAGCTCAAACACAAACCTTTTCGTTCAAGTCTTGTTTTAATGGCGTCCAAGAGCTTTTAACTCCTGATGGTGGTGGGTTCTTTTCTTTAATTCTTGAGGCTGTTGTGTTATTTTCTTTCGCTTTGAAACTCTTTGTTTTAGCATAGGCACTGGAAGAGAAGTCTATGGTTCTCACAGACATGTTAAAAGGATGTATGTGACGACAAATTCTACCAGAATCAAACCACAACTCGTTGCAACGTTACGGCTGTTTGTTTAGATTGTACGTCATGTAAGAGGAGGTAGGGATATACGTGGGTACAATAAATAACACATACATAACGTAACTTCCCGTTGACAGTCGCACAGGGCCATTCATCGTTTTCCCGATTCCCGCACCGTATTTTGGTCAAATTCCGGATCCCGAGAATACCATTCTAGACCCTCGCTGACAGTCGTGACAGCACACCAGTCGAACATCAGACTGCACACTCCACTGCACTGGACTACAGACGACCAAACTTTATTTCAAGATGGCGGCCGACATTAGCTGACTTTGAAAAAAGACTGATGGCCAGGGCCAAGAGCATCCGACCGAGAATTAGAAAACAAGAAGCTTTGAGAGCTTTAAACCGATCTGGCATTGGGGAAAGTCACTGAAGTCGCTCTCAGTCCTAGGCAGAGCCTCTTTTTCTCCCAGGCTCTTCGCGGCTTCGCCGCTCGTTCTGCGCTCGTTTACACGGCCTCACCGCTTTCTTAGCGCCATCAAATTGCTTACTGCGCCTTTCAATAACATGCAGACTCTAAAATTCAAAGTTCAACCGACGAATGCGTTTTTCGCTACCGTCAATCAAATGTTCGGCGGGTCCTTCCAGCTTCCGACTGTGTTGTCTGAACTGTGCACAACGATTTGATTTGATTACCGCGCGCTCGGCAGTAGTCGGAAGCTGGGAGGAGCCGCCGAACATTTGATTGACAGTAGCGAAAAACGCATTTGTCGGTTGAGCTTGAATTTAGAGTCCGCATGCTATTGAAAGGCGCAGTAAACCACCAAGCTACGCAGGCTATGGGAAAGCAGACGAAAGTGTCAGAGACTAAGGAAAAGACTATTAAGGGAGTAAATCAAATATGTACATTTCTGAACGTGGAAATTCTATAATAATTTATCAAGTTGTTTGAAAACAGTTCCTGGCTGCCGGGTATCTCGACACAATAATGTGTTTGTATAGCTCTGAAGCGAATCGAAACTACTTTCGTTCGCGCCAATTGTTTCTACGCATCCTTATTGCGCACGCAAATTCACACACACGTCATGCATGAGAGCGTGCTAAGTAATAAAATAAAAAATAAAAAAACACTTTAATAGCTGACACAATTACTGGTAACCCAGTAGTTTACATTGTGGGCTATAAAAAAATATATATATATTTAGTTAAATAAAGCTGCGTTTTCAGACTGATTCCTCTGACGAGATGTGGACGCCGCCTTAGATCTGTACTGTGTTAATAAAACAAAATGTAAAATATGAACATAAGTAATAGGTTATTATATCAGAGGTTAGTTTATAAGATAAAAATATATAACAGTTGTGAAAGTGTTAGTCTCATCGAATGCCAACTTTGAAAACAAAGAAGGCTCGAAGTAAACCAATAACTGTTAATTAATTTATTTATTTTTCGAAATATTTTATCCTCCAAGGAGGAAAGATGCAAAAAGTAAAGAAGAAAGTCGCAGAAAAGATGAGATGGATAGAAAAGGCAGCAAGGACTCAAAGGTATAGCACTTGGAGACGAAATATTATAATTGTTTGATGTAAGGACAACTGTCCTGTGTCGCAGGCCGTAAACAATTGTTTTTATGATGGTTGCTTTTCAGACTTCTCCACCTTCGAAGGACAAATCAGATTCAAAATTGCTATCCAAAGGAAAAGAAGAAAAGGTCGGTGATAACTGAATATTTCTTGTTCTCGTTTTTCGTGTGATAAAATCGTGACTTTTCGTTTGTTCTTTTCTTTCCTTGTATCCTAGGGTCGACCTGATTCGGGAAGATTCGGAAGGCGCCCCGACAGCCGACGTTCCGACGAGCGACGTCCGGAAGACAGGCGAAACACTAATCGGAGAGAACGAAGGGATGCTCCGGAAAGTTCTGGAAGTGATCGAGGACGAGATGATCGTTTTCGGAAAGACGGCGGGAGTGACACGAGTGGCCGACGAGACCGAAGACCCGACAGTCGACGAGATTCGCGACCAACTCGAGAATCCGAAAACAAGCCGAAAGACCGAGAAACCTTGCCGAAAGCAGCCGATTCTGACAAAGGTGTAAAACGCGGTAAAGAGCAAGACAAGGAGCACGTGAGCGACTCGGCGAAGGAAAGCGAAAAGAAGGCTAGAGACAGCGGAGAGGTTGGTGATAACACCCCTCCAGGAGAGGAAGCCAAGGGAACTTCAAAGGAGGAGAAAAGTCGAAGTGAAGAAGAAGCGATCAAACAGCGGCGACTACGAAACAAGGTAAAAAGCAAAAACATGATAAATGGTAGTCCCTTTTGAGCCGCGTTTTGGCTCGTCACTTTTAAATACGTGATGTCGCAAAAGCGCTGTGTGCCTATGTGTTAGAGACTTAGAGCATTAAACAACAACAAAAAATGGTTATTTGCGGGTGGTTTTAAAGGTAGGAGAAGGGGAGGAATCTTGAGCGCCGTAAAAGAATGAAAAATGAAGTTGTTATCAGTGGAAAGCCTGCACTTTTGTTGTGCAGGCGGAATTGACTTTTGATCAGAAATGTCTCCCAGTTAGACATTTTACCGTAAGGAGATTTTTCATAGCGAGTAATGAACTGTAAGAACGCCTATAATTTTCTCCAGTAAGGGTAAATGAATAACCTTCAGTGTAGGCGATTTAGATGGGTGAGCGCCACCCTGGGTGCCTGTTGTAATACTGAACCACTCGGAATAATTAAGCTACACATGCCTGCAGAATGTGTGAACCGCTAGAGATATTTAAACTATTAATTATTCAATTTCAGTGGAGTTTAACCGTCGTTCGGTTTAAACGTAAACTTAGTGTCAATCGCTTCGCGTTCGATAGCCAGTGCCAGAGGCTTGTTTTCGTCGTAAAGCCGCGCACTGATAGCGGCTTCGCCACGAAAGAAAAAGTCAAAAACCCTCTGGCACCCAGGGTAGGTGAGCGCTGAATATTATTGTTTGTAATTCTGTGTCTGGTCGCCCTCTCGGAGTCACCAAACGTAGTATTGTCACTTTTTTTGCACTCACCCCAAACCTACCCTGTTTTTCGAGCACTCGCTCGTTCAGACTCCTTTATTGCCGACTTAAAAATAAACTACTTGTTGTGATTCCTCGTAGGATCGACCTGACCGAGCTATTTACCAGCCAAGATCAGTTTCACGGGGAGGTTCAAAAGCAGACTCGCCAAAAACAAGTGAAACTACAGGTACTTATTAAACTGGATAGCCAACAAGCGCGAGTGGAATGATTGTTTTATTAAAAAAAGCCCGCAACATATAGAAAATAACAACACAGAGCATGGTATAATGGCCTATGGAAACTCTTGAATTGCATTATCCAAGGATCACATTTTTATTAAAAGGGTTTATATAACAAGGGGTTATAAGTAATAATATAACCTCCTGTCTATACAGGCCCAGAGCATTACACCTAGGCAATGAGAAAGTTTTCAAATACAGTACTGCTCAAAACCAAAAGCCCATTAGAGATTTATGGGATTCAGTCAAAATGTTTAATCAAAGCGTCTTCCTTACAATATCTCATGAGAGCCGTGACAAGTAAGAGACAAACTGAATGAACCTAAATTTTTGCGAGATTCGTATGTTGAATATAAATTCATTTTTTAATCGACGTTGTCCTTGGCGTTGCCGTCGTTGTTTCTTTTCGACAACCGACGTAGCATTCCAATACTTCAAAAATGCGCCTCTGTTGTCCTGTTGTGATATACCTGAGGTTTTCGTTTTCGTTTCTTGCAGAAAGAGAACGGAGCAAAGACCCGAAGGGTAGGGAGAAGAATCGTGAACCAGAACGTGATACGAGAAAAACTCGTGACGAAAAACCGCGTGATCGATATCGCGACGATCGAAGAGAGCGTGACAGGGATCGAAGAACTGACCGTGAAAAGGATCGTGAACGCGAGCGCCCGCGAGAAAAGACACGTGATCGTGAACCAGAGAGTGACAGAAGGCGTGACATTGAGCGCGCAAATGAAGAACGAGAGGATAAAAGCAAAGCTGAAAAATGCGAGAGCGAACGTAATGAGACGAAGAAAACAACTTGTGAATGACACTCCAGTCTGGATATTAGTGCAAAAACAGCAAGGCGATCGTTCATTTTTCTTGTGAAAAATATTTTCTTCGCGACCGTAAACCACAAAGCGGTTTTTATCCCGCTTATCAAGAGCATCTTTTGGACTCATCGTTGAAGAAACGTTTTCTGTTTATAAACTGAATTAAAAAGTTCAAATAAAACCATTCGAGAAACAAAGGGAAATGCGTTCTTGCCTCAAAGCAGTCGGGGCTGTTATGATTTTTTTCCCGTTTGTTCGTTGTGATAAAACTGAATTAAATCCACTATACGCCGCGAAAATATACCCCCATAAGAGAAAATGAATGGTCTCTTGGCCCCCATCAAGGCCTTAAAACAGCGTTTTCCCGAAGCACCCACGGTTCATATTGACATGTCCATATGAGCTGCAAAGAACCCCTGTCCGTTAGGGCCGACCTGCTATTGATGATTTTTTAGGCGCTCGGAGATAAGGCCGAACCGCAGTTCATTTTCGTCCCCATAGCCCTTATAGCTTCTCTTAGCCGGTAGGATCTGGGCACGAACGAAGGGACAGTGTTGCATGCTGCTGTTTCAGGGCTCTTCAATGATTCTTTATTAATGTGGAATGTCATTTTCTAGGAGTGAGCGCTTCGCAGAGTTCTAAGTCTTTGTAAGGATTTTAAACGAAATAATTCATCTTCAAAGAGCGGCATGCCTACAATCTCAAATGGCTGAAAATCACGAGCGTGATTTTAGCTTTGTCACGCGCCGCTATTACCCAAATTCCAAATACACTGGTTTCCAAACGAACGAAGCTAAGGAGCTGAAAAGTTGCAAAAAGGATATGAATTCAGCGCCTCTTTATATGTCTGATGACTTTGATGAAGGATTTTAAAGTCAACCTCGTTTAGAACGAGGTGGGTAAACACTTTAGTTGATGACATCACGTCACCACATGAAACGCTCGTTTAGGTTCGTCACGTAACGCTCGTTACAGAAAAGAAGTCGGCCATAGTCGGGGCATGCACTGCGGCGAACATGGCAAACTGTTGTCTAATTTTCACAGGGTTTCTCGCGATCTTGGTCGCCATTATCGTTGGCATGTACTTCAATCGAACTATACCAGAAGGAATGCCTAACGATCAGTTAACCGGTCTGCGAGTGCTGAGTGTCGCCTCGGATATCGTTCAATTTCTGGTAAGTGGACTAACACAGTTGGCTGAACAGAATACGCTGAGTAATGTAGATGTGAAGTAAAATGCCTCACCAGCGGAACATGATAAAAACTGAAATATCTTATCTTGAATTTGTATTGTTTTATTGTTGTACTAATTCATAGCGGTACTTTATTTGACCTCGAGCAACACCGGCCTAATGAGTTGAGCCGCAGAAAAAACTTAAAATCTAGCTAAAGGGAATCAAACCTGAGTCCCAGGTAATCAGGTTTTCATATGAATACTTCCGAATTCTCCCAAACTTTGTCAAGCTTTCGCATCAGCCTAGCTATGGAAACAAGACGCAGCCATTTTGTACAGTCGCGTACTTCTCCACAACAACTGGGGACAGAGGAAAGTGGTTATTGTAGAGAGTTGGCCGTTACTGCCCTCCCCAACTCTTGATACCACAGTTTTAGTCATAAAGCCACTGGATGTAGATTAGGGGTTGGGGGGAGGTGGGCTGGGAACATCAAGTTCCCGCTATTTTCCTGAAAATTTCGGAGTTAAATATTATCCTAGTTGGCTTGATTTTATCCTGATTTTTATTTCAAGGGCTATACAGCTTCACTGTTTAGGATTGGTGACTCACCAATGGAAAATGAGAAAACAATGCAGGGCTGGGCAATTGCACTGAAAACTGCCACTAAAAAAGATCATGATCATGAAAGGTTCTTGGAAATCAGAGATGAAAAGATAGCCAACATTCCTGTTCGTATTTACAAACCAAAGAAAATTGATGCAGGCAAGAAATCAACTGGGCTTGTTTTTCTGCACGGTGGTGGATGGACTATTGGAACTGTTGGTGGGTTACAAATCATATTATAAATAAATAATAAATAAATGAATAAGTTATAAGGCTTTTATTATGTCCTTTCCTTAATTTTGACAGTACAATTTTGACTGCCGCTTGTTCTGCAGGCACAGCCACCGTATTCAAGGCTAGGATTCTTTTGAAGAAATGTCTATAATTTCTACCTGAGCTGAGACAATTTCTCCTATATAATCACATGCGTGAAAGTCACGGAAAGTTTTATTTTGTCAGACTGAAGCGCCTGTTGAAAACGCCATGAAATGTTGGATTGACAGTTTTTAAGATAAAAATCATCCAAATATCCAACAGGTTTCAAGCCAGAATCCTAGTGAGAATTCCAAGTCCCATCATCATACAGCTAGCCAATTCTGCAGAAGTAAATTCTCATTAGGAGTCCTGGTTGAAATCCCACCAGTGCCAGTATACATGTACCTGCCAACTTTCACACCTTAGGCGCGAGTCTCATGCCTGCGGATTGAAAACTTCGATCTCATGCTGACTCAGGTTTACGGGCCAAATTCTCACACCTAATTGAAAAATGTGAGTGGTTGCAGCTTTGCTTGACACAATTTCTAAAACGTGTAACCTCAAATCGATGTGTGGTAAACTCAAATCGATTATGGAGGTGCAGTGGCCGCATGGTTAGTGCACTCGTCCCTGGATCGAGCGGTCCGGGTTCAAGTCCTAGCCAGGGCCACTGTGTTGTGTTCTTGGGCAAGACATGTAACTCTTACAGTGCCTCTCTCCACCCAGGATATGGGTACCGGACAATTGTTGGGGTAACCTGACAAGTTGCGGGGGAGTGACCTGCAATGGACTAGCATCCTGTCCAGGGGGAGTAGAAATATTCCTAGCTGCCTCATGCTACAGAAACCGGGATAAGCTCTGGCAGCTATGAGCCAGTCGGCTCCAAGACTTCACAAATCGATGTAAGAAATGAAAACTATGTGTAAATGACAATACTTCTTTCTTCAAATACAAAGCACTGGGAGTGAGGTTGCGTTAAGTGATACTCATCCTCAGAGACTGGAACTGCAATGGTCAGGGCTGTTTCCCCTTCTGCTATTGTATGCAAATGTGGTCAAAATAAACCCTTTAAAGTCACTTGTCTTTGGAAGTTTTTGGACGTCTTCGGGAATCTTCGGATATGCTCATGTTGTCTTCAAAAAAACCCAGCACTCCCAGGATAAAAATCTCACGCCTATAACTCAGAAAAAGTTGGCAGGTATATACCAGTCATCCCTGTCTTTGCCAAAAAGTCTCTTACATTATTACTCCTGATTGGTTTTGTCCTTTATTTTAGATATGTATCACTCAGTGATTTCTCGTTTGGCTAAAGAAGCTGATGTTGTGTTGGTGTCTGTTGAGTAAGTGAACATACAGAAGGGCAATCACTTGCTAACTTCAATTTGTATCACATTAGCGACTGGGAGGTGTTGTGTTGTGATGGTCATTAACAGTTATAATTATTATGAGCTCAAGATTTTTATATCGTCATAGCTGACAAGGGCACAGCTCAGCTTGAGTTAACTATCATGCAACAAAATTAAGAGCCATCAATCTAATTGTTTTAGACAGTATAAATGTATGCCTAGTAGTTCAAAACTTTATCTAAATCCTCCTCGCAAACACTTGGAAATGACAAAGTGGCTGCCATTTTGTTAGCAACTGCACACTGCCAGGCTACTCACTATCTGCAACGGCATAGATGTAGTGCCTGAGTAAGCAAGCTAATACGAAAATGGTTTTTGAGATGAAATGCTTGGCCATTAGACTTACACTAAAGTGAATTAGTTGGATGATTGAGGGGGCTCCATTTTGCCCAAGGCTTAAATAGCTCAGGGCATCATTAATGTGTATTCTGACTGCAAATGACTCTTTAGTAAATGGGTGCTAGAGCATTGTTAGTTCTTCATATCAGAAATAAACTGGGAGAGAGCTTAATTAAGGGGTGATTAATTAATGGCTCTATTAATTCAAGGCTTTCCAAGATGCCAAGACTAATTCTATTTTCTGCAAGCTTGAGACTTTTCTTTGTCTTAGCAGGAGAAATCAAAACTCATGGGCGGCCTTGTGAAAAACAATTGCCTAGAATTCTGCAAGCTGTGAATAGTACAATGAACTAACATACCATCTAGCCAGATCAAGGAAGTGTAGCAAATATTTCTAGTCACTTTGTGTTAAAGAAGCCATAGTTACATGCAAGCAATCTGCTACACCATCAGTTTCCTCTAGTCCATCAAGGTTTGGATCAGAATTTAGCTACAGCTGACATTGTTATCGTTTGATATTTTCAGGTACAGATTGGCACCCAAGTACACCTTCCCTGCCCAATTCCATGACTGCTATGCTGTTGTTAAGACCTTGCTAGCCACCGGTGATAAGTATGGTATTGATACTAGCCGCCTTGTTGTTTCCGGGGATAGTGCTGGTGGTAACCTAGCAGCAGCTGTAGCTCTTAAGCTTCGCGATGAAGGGAAACAACAACTGGCTGCTCAGGTAAGGACACCTCAGTCCAGCTCCAGTGAAGCTGCAGGGCGGGTGGGGGGAGGGGGAGGGGGTGTCGAATCAAGTGGTCCGGGTTTGAGGCCTAGCTGGGGACATTGTGTTCAGTGTTCTTGGGTAAGACACTTCACTCTCGCGGTGCATCTCTCCGCCCAGGTGTATAAATGGTAACCAGCCCTTTTAATGCTGGGGGTAACCCTGCCATGGACTAATATCCCATCCAGGGTGGAGTAGAAATACTCTTAGTTACTTCATAATACAGGAACTAGTGTAGATAAGTGCTGGCCTGATGGGCCACTGGGCTCAAATGCAGTTGTAATTAACAACGACTTCTGTGCTACCTAAAACTGTA